AAAAGATGTATTTTCCTCACAGACGGCAACAAAAGTCCGAAATTATACGATTTAAAATAAAAGCAATAATTGTGGCTTGATATTGAGTAAGAACCATAGACTGTATATATAAATGGACGTAGGGTCCGTGACGTCACCCATAGGATTCTGCAGAGTTGCCGTGAAGCCCTTAGTAGGCGGAGTCGGCCACTAACGGCTCGACGGTGTCGTCAGAGTCTAACTCCCGCCTTCTCCAAATAAGGGCAAAGAGGCGGAGCTGAGGCGGAGCTGAGGCGGAGCTGAGGCGGAGCTGAGGCGGAGCTGAGGCGGAGCTGAGGCGGAGCTGAGGCGGAGCCGAGGCGGGACAGGGCGGGACCTGTTGCCAACGAGCGTGACGTTCGAGTCCTAGCTCAGGCTAAGAAGCTAAGCTAACATGCTCTCAGTATCAATCGAATGTAAAACATGATTGATGAAAGTAGTAAATCGGTCAGATTTGACCCGAAGACAACAGGAGGGTTAATGCCATATTCACTTAGTAACGCATGAACAACTTTTACAAATATTTCTATATAGTCTGTGTTGGTAAATGTCATCTAGGTTGCACATTTCCTGCTGAAATACATGCATACCAAGTCACTGCGTGGCACTTTGGTTTTGATAAAACAGTGTAGTTCCACTATATAAACGTTACATTCATAATCAAACGAGACAATCTGCAAGATAATTAGCTATTTGGTATTATTCTTAATGCTTGTCATTCACACGTTAATAAAATAAAATAAGTACCGATACATAGCAGAATAATTGTGGCGGTGTTCAGCTTAATAAGCCTTGCTCAACATCATTTATTTAGCTAATACTACAGCGGGCTGCAGGCGAACCAAGTCCGCGTTACGATGCATTCCTTGATCTCCAGTTATAACGCCGGACTCCGCCGCTGGCCGAAGCTAACGGAGCCCCAGGGTGCTAGCTACGGCCGCCGGGACGCGCTAGCGAGCTAGCACCCTGCAGCCCCGTTAGCTTCGGCGGCGTGGACTCCGGCGGCCCACCCCTTTTAACATTTGCTCCCGTTTAGCATTATGGGCGTCATAGCCATATAGTATAAAAGTCTTACCCAAGGCTGAATCATAAACTAAACTGTATATATGTATAAAGGGTTACGTCCTTAGCTGGCTAATAAGCTACATAACAGGCTAAGCTAACAAGCACACAAACACCTGCTAACGGGGTTAACATGTATAATATTATCATTTTACTCACCAAAAAAAGCTGAAAGTAGATCTGTTAGTACATTCAAGCGCACAGCATGACATTTTAATTATCTGGTATTTGTAACAATATTCCCTAACAGGCACGATCACCACGAACACAGCTAAAGGATCAAGTACAGTAACTACAACTAACTAACGTTGTAGCCTCTATGGTTGTATCCTAGCAGATTGGACAAGTTGCTGTTAGCTGACAGTGAGGCACGTATCTGTCAATCAAAGTGACCACGCCCTAATGTATGCACAAACTTTAAGACCTAATATAAATATAAAGGGTCGCGTTAGAAAACAATTCACTCACAGATCCATAATCATGAAGGTGGAATCTAACTATATCGATAATAAAATGTATGGAGCCAGGGGTAGAAACATGTTTTTTTCTGCTGTAAAATCGGGCATTTTAACATGGGGGTCTATGGAAATTGCTCCTTTCTGCAGCCATCGCCTATCGGCCAATATATGAACTGCAGTGTGTGGCACTTCCGTATTGGCTTCCCGGCTCTACCCCACAGTTTGCCGCTTGGTAAGAACATGTTTTTATGAACCACACAGCTTCCTGTCTTCCACGACCCGACCGGAGAAAAATAAGTGCTGTAGGCACGAAACACATTACCAGTAGAAATACATTGCTTTTAAAATCCGGCTGTGCAACACGAAAAAAAGGGGGAAATCGTGTTGGTGAACACGAATCAATAGATTAAAAATCGTGTTGGTGAACACGAAATGCCATGAGACTGGGTTGTTATACCAGAGAAACTTTCATAACAGCGTTGTGATGCCAAACAGCGTCAATTCAGACTGACACACATTCACTTAAGGGGAACTGGGGATATTTATCAGCTGCTTGTGTGAGTCAGACGCGGCCGCGGCAGTGTGAGCTAACATGGAGCTAATGGGAGAATAAACTCCCGTGGAATAGCAGCCAACACTGCAGCGGTCGGTAAATGCAGCAGAAACACATTAATAAACAATGAACCACGGCACGCTGGAGAAAAGCATAAGGTTGGAGAAGTCTTTATTTAATTTAATCTGGCTTCGTGTGATTAAAAGCAACACGATCATCGACCAGACGCAGTTGTTGTTGTTGTGAGCGCCGTAACGTTGTTGGGGAGCAAATCAGCGATGTAAACGGTGACGTCATGACGCAGCAGCGGCAGCACCAGTCGGGCTCTGGGCGGTGTGAACAGAGCGGGAGCAGAAAAGGGAAACCGGAGCTGAACCAGAAAAGCTCTAGCACGGAGCTCTACGGCCCGTCCACACAGCGGCGTGCGTTGAAGCTTCCAACGCTTCTGCCCATTCACTTTGAATGGGGTGACGTCACTTTTAGCCGAACTGCATTTTGGGAAGCGACGTGGAGCGTTGCTGGCGTCAAAAGTTGAGCAATGTTCAACTTTTGACGCCTCGACGGAGGCGTCAGCCAATGAAATCCTGTTTATGCAAATCTGCCAGTACAAGCGCTAGCCAATCAAACCGCGTGTAAGCTGGGAGAGACTACGCAGGTCATTTTCTCATATTAAAAAAAATGGAGGGAAAATTCATTGTAGCGGTAGTGAATCACCCGGTGCTGTATGATCAGTCTCTGTTCATCTACCGGGATACAAACCGGAGGAGCGAGGCTTGGAGGGAGGTGGCAGAGACAGTGGATGAAACTGGTAGGTTTTCGCCTGTTTGGGGATTTTATATCCAGTTTACTTCGTTTTAACATTGCTATTGCTTTGTATGTCGGGGGCGGGAGATTCAGGTGATTGGTTGTTGGTCGCGTTGCTCGCAAAAAATCCCCAAGCTTCAGATACGCCCACCTCCAAGCGTCAACGCACGCTGCTGTGTGGACGCTCCGTAGAAAGGGAAAAGCGCTGGTGTGAAAGCCGCACTAGAGAGGTGGTACTATCCTGGGGGAAAAAAGTACCCCAGTTCTGATTGGCTGGGCGAACTGCAAACCACGGCCCGTAAAACTCTGAAAAGTTTTGTGAAGCCGCCATTGTATTTGTGGCATTAGCATTAGCCCCACGCACCAACGGAGAGAGAATAATTTATGGCAACACAAAAAAAAAACATGGGAGCGGTGGAGTGATGAGGAGGTGTCGGCGTTCTGGCGATTTACTCGGAAGGCTTCAGTAGAAGCTGCTGGGAGTCCCAGCAGCTTCTACTGAAGCCAGTCCCCAACTCCGGGGACTTCGGGTGGCAGCAGGGGCGGACTGGCCATCGGGAATACTGGGAGTTTCTCCGGTGGGCCGGTGCTGTGCATGGGCCGGAGGGCCAAAACAATAAATACATTTAAAAAAATATATATTTTTTTTTTATTTTTTTTTTTTTTGCCTAAATCCTACCGGCCCATATTTGTGAGTATACCGGCCACTCCCTTTTTTTTTTTGCTTAACTAAATCCTACCGGCCCACATTTGTAAGTGCCCACATTTGTAAGTGTTCCGGGCCGGCCACTCCCCATCAGGCCCGTAGCGGCTGTCACTGCGCAGTGAAAGATCAGGAGTGAGTTACTGATGGATAAACAAGCTCCAAAGCGTAAAGGAGGTGCACAAAAACTTAGGGATAAAAAAATGAAAGCACTTGAGGAAGGTTCAGCAAAAAAATAAAAAATTACAGACTTTTCGTTTGGTCCTGCCGCTGGTTGTAGTTGTAGTACAACCACCACCGGAGAAGCTGATGTAACGTTAGCCGACACAGCGGCCATTCCCAGTGGCAGTGAGTCCAGCAATGAAACTGACACAGTACAGCGGCATCTAGAGCCCAGTACCAGCAGTGATATGATGGTAAGTTAATGTTATGATTGATGCTGAAAGTGAAAATCCTCATTTGGCTAATGCTAGCTTGCTTTTTAATGTAGCAGATGAGGTAATATTAGCTAGCTAGCCTATTTCTAGCTAGCTAGGCTATTGCCTACAGTACATTGTGTGTTCACAGGGACAGCTAATGCATTAGCTAGCTAGCCTATTGCCTACAGTACATTGTGTGTTCACAGGGACAGGGTAGAATTAACAACATTCACTGACCAAATTCTGGTGAAATATGCAAGCTGCTGGTAGATTTGCTTCACTCATTGACAACGGTAATCTATTTGAACATTATAGCCACTTGACTTGGGCTGGTGAATCAATGAGACTACGATGATTGCTTATACTGTCTTTTGTTTGATTAGCTTAGACGTTAGGTTACCTTATTAATACTACAAATAATAAAGGGTCCATTACTTGTCAACCTGCAACTAAAGTTACTGTCTGGTGGAAATTAGCCTGTTACTGTCTTTAAGACTTTACTTGGTTTACATACATAATAATAACATGGTGGTAACATAATAACGTAACATACTAATCAATACTAATCATTTATGTAGGCTGAAGATGATCCTGCTGCTGACACTGACAGAGTTAGTCAAGGCCAGGATGTCAGTGCCACCCCAGTTGATTATTTCACCAGGCCGATGTCAGGCACATTAGACCTATTCTTCCGTTTTCACCCCCAGCAGAAGGCAGACAAGGCTGTAGTGCAGAGGGCTTTTTTTTGCAAAGACGGCACAAACAGGAAATAGCTATCATACAGTGAAGCCAGAGAAGTACTCTTCTGCTCCCTTTGTATGGCTTTTGCTAATCCTAGAGATAGCAACTCCTTCATCACTGGCATGACCAACTTCACACACATACATCAGAGAGTCGAGGAGCATGATCAGAGCCATGCTCACAGAGATTGCGCTGAGGCATATTTCCTCAGATTCTCAAAAAACACAATTCAGGACCTTCTCATGGGACCTCAGATGTCATGTCACAGAGAGGAAGTCCGCAGGAAGCGTCAAGTGTTGGAGCGCATCATAGATGTGTTGAAGCTCATTGGTCAAAGTGGTTTGAGCTACAGGGGCACGCAGGCGGAGGCATTATATACACAAGATGATGACACCATTGATCATGGTAACTTTTTAGAGATGATTGTTTTGCTGGGAAAATATGATGTGTGTCTCAAGGAACACCTCACTCTCTGTACAGAAAAGAGCAAGCAAATACACCAGTCTGGTTTAAGACAAGGTAGAGGTTCCCTTGTCACTCTCCTATCCAAAACAACCATCAACTACATCATCACCACCATCCAACGCCTAATGAAGGCCACCATCGCCACTGAAGTCCGGGAATCTTTTACATTACATTACATTACATTACATTGCATTTAGCTGACGCTTTTGTCCAAAGCGACTTACAATAAGTACATTCAACCAGGAAGATACAACCTTGAAGAAAACAGAATCATATAAGTATATCAGGTTTCATAGAGCAAAACATTTCAAGTGCTACTCAACTGGCTTTAGGTAATCCAGTCCTTTATTAGTATAAAAGTGCTTCGTTAATCGTTCTAACGCTCGAAGTGGAGTCGAAAGAGATGAGTTTTCAGTTTGCGCCGGAAGATGTGCAAGCTATCTGCCGTCCTGATGTCAATGGGGAGCTCATTCCACCATCTTGGAGCCAGGATAGCAAACCCACGTGTTTTCGCCGATGGGAACTTGGGTCCCCCTCGCAGCGAGGGCGCAACGAGTCGTTTGGCTGATGCAGAGCGTAGTGCACGCGCTGGGGTGTACGGTTTAACCATGTCCTGGATGTAGGAAGGGCCAGATCCATTCGCAGCACGGTAAGCAAGTACCAGTGTCTTGAAGTGGATTCTAGCAGTTACCGGAAGCCAGTGAAGGGAGCGGAGGAGCGGAGTGGTGTGGGAGAATTTAGGAAGGTTGAAAACCAGACGAGCCGCTGCATTCTGGATGAGCTGCAGAGGTCGGATGGCACATGCAGGTAGACCAGCCAGGAGGGAGTTGCAGTAGTCTAGGCGTGAGATGACGAGAGCCTGGACCAGAACCTGAGTCGCTTTCTGAGTCAGCTGGGGACGTATCTTCCTGATGTTGTAAAGCGTGTATCTGCAGCAGCGGGTTGTAGCAGCGATGTTTGCAGTGAAGGACAGGTTGTTATCTAGGGTCACACCCAGATTCTTTGCAGTCTGAGTCGGGGAAACAACTGAGGTGCCGATGTTGATTGTCAGGTCAAGAGTTGGACAATCTTTTCCCGGGAGGAAGAGCAGCTCAGTCTTGTCAAGGTTGAGCTTGAGGTGGTGAGCAGACATCCACTGAGAGATGTCAGCTAGACAAGCAGAGATGCGTGCGACGACCTGGGTCTCTGAGCGGGGAAAGGACAGAATTAATTGGGTGTCGTCAGCGTAGCAGTGGTAAGAAAAACCATGCGGGCTAATGACTGATCCGAGCGAGTTTGTGTACAAGGAGAAGAGGAGGGGACCAAGAACAGAGCCCTGAGGGACCCCCGTAGTTAATTGACAAGGGTCGGACTCAGACCCTCTCCAAGTCACCCTGTAGGTACGGTCTTTCAGGTATGAGGTGAGGAGGGAAATCTGGCATGTATTCTGTCCAGATTGACACCACACAGGACATCACAGCCCAAGATCAGTGCTCTGTTGTCATACGATATGTGACAGACATTGTTCATGAGCGACTTGTTGCTGTGATTAAATGTGAGGCATCCACTGGGCAGTACTTTGCACAACTTGTTGTGAATGAAGTACTGGAGACCATGAAACTGGATGTGAGGCAGTGTATTGGAAATTCCACCGATGGGGCCTCCAATATGCAAGGCCAATATAAAGGCTTCTCTGCACTGCTCGCCAAAATGTCCCCCACCCATGTCCATGTATGGTGCTACGCACACGTCCTGAACCTCGTCCTGGCAGACACAACACAATGTGTATTGGCAAGTGGGTCACTTTTTTCCCTGTTGAACAACATCGCTGTCTTCATCAGAGAGTCCTACCAGAGGATGAACATCTGGGAGAAGGAGAGCAAAGACCCAAGACACAGACATCACGCCCCGATTGGAGAGATACGCTGGTGGTCCAAAGACGTTACTGTGACTAAGGTATTTGGCTCTTTTGGAAAGCCAGATAATGCCCTGTATGTTGATGTCCTTCATACCCTCTCCGCCATTCAACATGAAGAGACCATCAACGCCACTGCACGGGTCAATGCACGTGGATACATCACCCAGCTTCTGAGGTATGAAACAATACTTACAGCTCAGATCTTCCTGAGAATTTTCCAGGTCACCTCACCAGTCTCAAAATACCTTCAGAAAAGTGGAATGGACATCCTGACAGCTCATCGGATGATTGTGGCTGCAGAAACACAGCTGAAAGATATGACCAGAGACTTCGAGAAAGTCAAGACGGCGGCCGCCACATTCGTCCAGTGGGCTAACAATCAAACAGAGGAGCAGAGTGAGGAGACTGAGCTGGAGGTTGAGGCTGCTCTGCCACAGAAACAGGGTAGAAAGAAGAAAACCATGCCTGGAGAGATGTCCAAGGATGAGGCTGTGACTGATGCTGAAACATCATACAAGATTGATGTCCATAATCAAATCATGGACACAGTCACAGGAAGCATGCACCAGCGCTTCCTCAAAAATGGCACTTTGTATGCTGATTTGGCACTTCTGGACCCAAAAAGATTCAGCCAGGTAACATCTTATGCCGGTGGTTTCCGAGAGGCAGCACTTCAAGAATTAAGCAAGTGCTTGCTGCCATTTGATGACAGAGCAACGGTGGCCAAATTACAGAGTGAGCTCATCAGTCTGGCAGGACAGTGGAATAGGTTGAAGACATCTGTATTTGAGGAATACACAACCAAGACAACAGAGGCTGGGCCAGAGGATGCTGAAGATGAAGCGGAGATGGTATATAAAAAGTGCTCATCTTGCAAGGACTGCCCATTGTGTTGCTACCGTATCCTTAAGCAGTACAACCTCCTGACAGATGCATACCACATCATTGGCCTTGCATACAGGTTCCTGCTTACCCTGTCTGTCACACAGGTAGCATGCGAGCGAAGCTTTTCAACACTAAAATTAATCAAAAACAGGCTCAGGAGCTCGCTCTCTCAACAGAACCTGGAGTCCTTTATGCTCATGGCTACTCAACCAGATGTTTTGAAGATGCTGGATAGTGACCAAATTATAGATGGTGTTGCAGAGAAAAGTGAGCTGCTGCAGAAACTACTAATTCAGTGAGGTAATAATACATTTACATTTATTACTATGTGACTTCCCAATCTTGACACTAATAAATTAGTGATTATTGCAGACTATTGAACAACATTAAAAACATGACATTTGTTCTAATGAAGGCTTCAGGTGGATGTCAGTATCTCTTCGATAATGTGTACATAACATGCATATATGTTTTGTCTCTCACCCATAGGCCACCCTATTTTTTCCAGAGGGGACTGACTTCTACAACCTTGCTCCCAATGTCAAAATCAACCACTTCAACCCAGCCTCCTCCTTTTAAAAGCAACACATGGATGAGCTCACTTATAGACCCAAAAGGGTAGAGAGGGAAGTATTGACAGCGCTTATTGTTTATAAGTATGTTGCCCTGCCCTCTAGTGTTTTTTTTGTGTGTGTATGTGTATACAGCAGGGGTACTCAAATACAAATCTTAAAGGTCCAAAATAAATGTTTCAATAAGACAAAGGTCCGTTTATTACGGTCATTCAAACGTTTAAACAATTGCAACAAGATTCTTAACACGAGGTTGCAAAAACAAAAATAATCTGTATGCAGCAGTTTTCATTGTTATTGTGTCTGTGCTTGACCCCTCAGAGTCGCAGTGTAAGAGCTGCACAGTTAGGAATAAAGGCAGCTGCACCCTCTTTCATTCAGCATTCCCATTATTGCTTTATAAATGTCTTGCCCCCTTGTGTGTCCACTGAGGTTCGTCAGGCCCAACACATCTTCAACAAACTCCCCCTTTGCCTCATCATAAAAACTCACAAACACCAGCAACTGAGCATTGTCAGTGGTGTCAGTGGACTCACCCACAGCTAAGGAAATGCACTGTGCATTTTTTATTCCATCACAAAGCTGATTAATCAAATCACCAGCCAGTATTTATGTTCTTCTGGTTGCTGTGCAATCTGAGAGGGGATTTGCTTGATTTGACCTGTTATTTCCTCTTTTTGTTTGCCTTCAACATGGTCGCCATCACTTCAGTCATGCATTCTTTTATACTGCAGTTATTATCCAGTGGAAAGTCCTTACCTACTGGCCTAGTTAAATCAAAGTGGTTACTTTTTTTTGGCTGGGCAGTGTAGTTTTAAACACCGTCTTATTTGACTTTCTCAGGACTTAAAACAGTTTTTTGGGGGCAGACCCCCTCAAAGAAAACAATATATTTACACACGTAAGGTCATCATCTTAATAGTTTTGTATGCTCATCCGTGAGCAGAGCATCAAGTTGACATGTCTATTACAGCTGAATGCGGCGATTACCATCTTGTTCAGCAAAACTCCTCACAAACGTATTAAGATCAACAGCTTTAGTGCGTTTTGATTCAATGCTGAGTACAGTCAAACTGACAGTCTCTTCTCTGTCATTGTAGACCGCAAATACCTCATTCCTTCAGTGCTTGGGTCCGAATGCTTCTCGTTTTGCGCCGTCCAGTTAAAAATGAAATCGCCGCCAAATCGTATGTCCACGCTCGCGCCAGGACCGGGGGAGGGGTTACATGACGTGCATCTTGTGCTGTAATCACTTGCACTCGGACATTAGAGACTTTCTCTCATAAATGTCCGATGAGCCACAACTTTTCTTTCAAAACAAAGCTACCAACTGGGGTGGCAGCTGGGGTGGCAAGGCCTATTTTTAGGGTGTCAGTTGCTACCCCGGTAGGTGAAACTAGGCTACTAGCTACAGTACAGATGGAAGATGAGCTGTTAACTCTCGCTCTGAATTTTTTTTGTTTTTGTTTTTAATTCTCGCTCTGACTTAGACAGGTTGAAAGAGACACACACATTTTTCCCACCCGCATTCCGCGAAGACCCGCCCTACTGTGCCTCTGATTCGCAGATTGTTTGGGGGGAAAAAACGCTGACTGGATGCTGAATGTGATTGGACCAAAGCGTTGACACACACAGGTGGAACACAGTGGAACAGTCAGACATGCAGAGCGCTGTTTGCAGTGGACATAGCGGAGAATTTTGACTCGTTGCGAATGCGTTGTGGCGATGTCTCACATATAATACAGAGAGATCATACATATGAAAAGTATAATTTGCTCAGAGTCCGGAGACAGTGGTGGTTCGGTCCGGATCTGGACCAGAGTCCGTAGTTTGAGGATGCCTGGTATACAGTATACAGTATTGTAGCGAGCCCTGGGTTCAGAGGGAGGGGCTTGCATAGGGGAGGGGGGGGGGGGGGGGGGGTTCAGGGAGAGTGGCTGCACCCGTAGGATAGAAAAGGGGGAAGTGACGTCTGACTCAGAGGTCGCACGGCTGTGGAGAAGAACGTTCATTCAGAACCCACATTCTGTTACTGAGTTTAGGCTAGTTAGCTAGCAGGTTTATTGTTTTGGGTGCAGTCACTTTTGCCTCCACTTGCTGTTCAAATAAATGTTGAAAGAAAAAGTAAATCTGTTTACAGTTCTGTTTCATATTGGTGTTGAGAGATGTATCCATAGCTTTAGTCCCTAATTTTGCTCTCCAAATGCACCAGATTGATGCATTTAACTTCAACATTTTAAAACAAATCTTCCCGGGGGAGCTTGCCCCCGGACCCCCCTAGAGGAGGTGAGGTCTACCACCTGCCCACACCCCCTGTCAAATTGTCTCACCCACATTGAGGATGCTTCCTACCCCCATGTTTTATTCCATGCGTCAAGTCAGGCAAATTGGGTCCAAATGTTATTGCATCAATGATCTGTTAACATTAAAATCACTAAATATATGCTGTAACTATTTTGCTTAGGCAACTCAAGGGCTCAGGTAATGTGATGACTATATGAATAATGGTCCAAAATAACATAAAATGCATAGGGTTTTTTGTTAAGTAACATACTTTCGTCGCCGGCCGGCCGATACATGCCGCGCATTAAGTGGGCCTGTCTGTCAATTAATCCCCGGGCCACTTTTTCCCCCCAGTCCGCCCCTGGGTGGCAGTATACGCCGTGAAGTGGTTTGCGGCCTGCCAGTAATCCCAAAGCAGAAGAAGACGAAGTGACGTCAGCTGCTCATTTGCGTAATCTTCCCTCAGGGAAAAGTACTCCGGTGTCAACGCGATTGGTACTTAGTGCCCTGGGGTAATAAGTGCCGGGGCACTAAGTGCCGGCACTAAGTACTGCAAAGTACGCGGTGTGAACGCGGCTATACTTCCTGAATGAAAAGTGAACTTTAATATTAGTCAAATATGAAGAAGTTAAACTTTAAACATCCATGACTTAAACACTTTATCCAGGATAAAAGCCACATAGCTGCACCTGCAAGGTGAATACAGCTGGTAAAAGAAAAAGTGTTTGAATGCGTTCATTAACAGGTTTATGATATCACTGCCCCGTCTAAAACACGATCTGACTCTAATTACATTTGACTCGAGTGTTTCGTCAACTTAATGTGTTGCTTAAAATAATACTTCTGCATAGTATGTGACACTGTGAGTGTTGCACGGCCAGATACGGCTCGAGAAGCTGACTCGGATAAGGAAATATATGATAGGCTACATTATGATGTGATATGAATGATAATGCGATACATCGACGTCTGCACTCAGTGTACTTATGTTGTGGCAGATATTTAAGTAAGCTTTCTTAACGCTAATGTTATAATAGTCAGATTGCTCTGAAGATGGGAGGTGATATTCTATTCATTTTCACATTCCCACAGTCAGTTGATTTTTGCCGGCCGTCTTTCCTGCAACGGCAGTTTTCTGTATTTCCTTTCTCCTGTAATATGACTTGATAGCTTTAAACTCCGCACACAGAGCTCTGATTGGTCAGCAGGCGGTGCTTTCACTGAGTTGATCTCTTAGCCTGCAACCTAACCTGCTCCAGAGCAGGTTAGCCGCACAGCATAAGTTACCATGGAGATTTAGCCCGCTAAAAAGAGAACAAGCGTCGTAGGACCGGAAAGCCGGAGTTTTCCCTGAAGTTAGCCCGCTAAGCGAAAATCCTGCTTCGTAGTACGGGGCTGCAGTCGAATAGTCCATTTAGCTTAGGAACCTTCCTA